TAATAAGGGGAACTGTAAGAAAAAGTGAAAAAAACGGTAATCTATACAAATATTACAATGCTTATTCTTCCTTGCACAATATTTTAACCATTTTTCAAAGTAAATGGTACGGAAAATGACAAAAGATTTAGTTCTCTCTTCTCGGATTCGCAAATGGCCCCTAGCAAAGCCCAAGCCAGAAACAAACACCTCATCAACGAGATACATGATTTAATTACAATTGGATGGTGTGAATGAAATGCTACACCGTAATTCAAATACTTGATTACATATGGTATAGATATGTATGTATCGTATTTTGGCGATTATGTTGTGGCTCCATCTGCTGACCTTTTTGAAATTTGTTTCCCCTTTCCCTCGGCGAAACAAAGGAGTGATTCATGATATTATCTAAAGAATGTTTTAGATTTAAAAGCAGTCTTTCACATGCCACTTTGCTTTTGCACTGCCTATTTTAAATCCTGTCTTCCAAGCCGCCCCGTTTTTGTGCTCTATTTATAATAAAACAGGTTTCCACAGTGACTCGGACCCCCGTATTCCGTACTCTTTATCATGTGATTTTATTACGGACCGTTATTCGGATCTAGATGGGGCGGAAATCTACCAACAAATGAGATCGTGATCTTTCGGGTTAAAAAAATTCTTGATTACTGGCTTGCTGATTTTCATTTCTTTATTATATTTATCCACTGGCTTTTTCCTATAGTAACACCCAAAAAAACATTGACCGGACCCTTCCGCATTCTAACTATCATGCTATCTCTATATCTGGTCATACCAGATCAGGAATGTTGATTCTGGCCACTGGTCATTCGTCTCATTCACTTAGTCATTTGTCATCGAGATTTTTAAATTTTATATAGAAGACTTAAATGGACAACTTTCTTCCACGGCTTCACTCAATTTTTTTACCCTTACGGCTATCAGTTTTTCTTTTTGAAAATAATTCGGATAATTGTATTTGTTATATTTATCTTGGACGTTACTTTTTATTCTTATTGATGTGTTTGGTTCGTATCCGTCCCACTTTTTTCTGCGTGTCTTTTTTTTTTCCTGTCTTCAAAACCATTGTTCCTTCTGATTTCGTTCTTAAATAGACAAGAAAAAAAACCCGTATTTGATAGACAGTCAGTCAACTTACATAGCTTAATATCATTCATAATAAAACTCCGATAAAAAACTTTCTTTTTATTTTTCTGTTACCTGAGACAGTAATTCAAACTAAGCCATATATTATTAATTGACTTTATATAAAAAAGGTCTCCTCTCTTCCTACGACATAAATTAAAAGTCTCGTTGAAGTTTTCCGGATTTCTGTATATATTAGCTTCTTGTAATTTTTAAAAATCTTTTAACCTCCTTAATACACTTCTCACTTTATAATTGCTGTTGTTAGTTGAGTTTTTTGTCAAGGCTTCTCACATTTTCCTTCTACAATGTCGTTCGCTGAAGTTGGAGAGTCTCTTGGCCCTATAACTGCCACAGCTCAGCAAACAACGAACTTTCATTATTATAATACTCAGGGTGATTCAGATAACGAACATGATTACGTAGGGACTCCGCCTTACTCAAACGACGAATCTACCCTCGAAGGTGACAACAGCGAGGAAGGAATGGAAGGTGTCTCTGACAGTGAAGAAGAAACTGACAATAGGGAATACCATTATCATAATGTTACGACAGAAGACGAGGAAGACGAAGACGAAGAAATGGACGTCTGCAGCTCTGACGATTCTGAATCTGACGAAACTGAAGACGAACAAATTACTCAAAATATCCTCCCTGTACAAAATCAAGGATTTGAAGGTGGTAGCGACTTTAATACGTATCGAAACGGTAATGGAATAACCAGCGGTAATGTCATTGACGTTGGCAATAATAATCTCAACAATAGCAACAACGGAAACACCGCCAACAACATGTTACCTCCTATTCAAATGCTTCACAGAAATACACCTCCATCAATACCTGCATCAACATTGTCTGCTCCGTCTTCTTCAACTAGATCTCTTGGATCTGATATTCAATTTAGCGATAGATTGCTTGCTTTCAATACGATGCATGCGCGAAACTTAAATAATAGAGATCTTCGTCAAAACCATCATGTTGGCAGTTATAATATACCTCCTTTTCCTGATGGCTTTCCAGTTCCTCAACCACAGTCAATTTTTAGATTTCCTAACGTGAGTCAACCTCCTAGCTATACTGTTAGAAATGATGTTACCGTATCTCAGTCAACGACAACATCTTCAAATGTCTCTCAACAAAAGCAAAGTCCTTTGAGGTTTGGTTTTCCAGATTCTCAAGAATCACGTGATAATGAAATGGATGACGATGATGATGAAGATGGTTCTTCATCAGCAAATTCTTCATCTTCACGAAAAAGAGCAAGGTCAATTTCAAATGATTGGCCTAATACCACTTCCAATTCTCATTTTATTCCATCATCTATACAATTTGGTTCTTTGGAACCTATTAATCGAGATGGTATCGGTGGTAGGTCTACTGTTGGTAATAACTTGCAAGCATCTACCCGTTCATCTTCTCCGCTTAATCGTTCGACACCGGGAAATCATGCTCCGGTTATTAATAATTATCAGGATGTTACCGATTCCCCTTCTACTCCTTTATCTCCTCCAATAAATTATATGCCTCATTATATCCCACATCCTAATCGTATTCCTACTTATGTCGCATACAACCAACCTTCTTCTAATTCCTCTCAATCATCATCATCTATACCGATACGACCACAGTCTCAACAAAACTTTTTCAATCGTATGCCATATGTTAGTAACGCATCAAGAAGAAATTTTCCAAATCCAACTCAACCATTAGATACTTCTTTGAGAAGACCATCACATCATACTAGTGACGAGCAACAATCTTATAATAATTACACTTCGGTTGGCTCTGAAGCGTCCAATGTAATATATCCCGAAGTGGTATCTTCACAACCTGAGCGAAGGCAACATCATTCAAATGTTAATGTACATATACAGAATGTGTCACAAGGGCCTAGGGGATCATCGTCTTCCAGGTGGACGTCTCGTGATTCTTCAAATAGAAATCGTGATGTGTTGACTAGATCAATCATTCCAAATCCACATCTTCGTCGTACAGCGATTCGTCCAAGTACTTTCACGGGTGCTGGTAACCATTCAACTCTTAATGGTCCATTGCAGGAATCCTCTAGAGTGATCGGAAGTGATGAGGAGCCAGATACTGCTATTGATTTGCCAGAAAGTTCAGATAGTGAAGTTAATATAACAACTACTCCTAATCGTGTTACACCATGGACAAATAGAATTATTAGACGTCATGATATACGTCAGGATTCTAATACACGTGACTCGCGGCAGCCTATAAATCATCGAACTTTAGTGCCATCGGCATCTACAACAAATGCTGCAAGAAACAATTCTTCTGAAAATCCTATTTCAGATGAGCAATTGACAAGAAGGATACAGCCAACTGAATTCAGCTCTACACATCAAAATCTCGTAAGTTTAACTTATCCTTAATCCAGATTACTCTTTCTTATTCTAATAAAATAATTTTATTTGATTATATGATAGAATGACGAGCATAGTCCATTGTCAAGGATTTTTGGAAGTCGAGGTATGGTTAACTTTTAAGAAATTGTGTATTATCTTTAGTTTTGAAATATATTTATATGAATTTATCGCCGTTTGTCTATCTGGAAAATAAATAGTTCGTCCCTCATCTCGCCGTGATACGGGAACGAACTCGTCAACAACTTCACGTAGTGGTTCTGTCAGGAGAGATACACCAACGCGCGCACCAATACCCAGATTGCCAGACATGTTATCACATCATGACCGTCATCATAGTGAGGAACGTGGAAGTGAATCTAGGTCCCGTGCTCATGGTTTACGCAACGGTCAATCAAGGAACGTAAGGCAAGGTGCTCATTATATACATCATTTCATACCACATTATCCGTTATTAGAGAATCTTATTGATAATGGTGAACTAGAAGACTACTTTATTGAGATGATGCCAGAGTTTTTGGGGTATGTGATGTTTTTAAATGCTCATAATCCCTTAACAATATATTTACACATGTTAATATTTCACTTTTTCATTAGCAATGGTATTGCAGCTAATCCAGATAACTATCTGGTAGGTTATGGTTGAAAATTGTTGATTACGAACATATTTTTCCTTTTAAAGGCAACATTTGTAAAATTTATTATTCTTCGTTAGGATGAAGATGAGTTTGATTCTAGTTATGAAGGATTGCTTAGACTAAGTGAACGCATCGGTGATGCAAAACCTAAAGGTGTTCCAGATCATGTGGTTAATACATTACCCACAAAACGGTATTCAACGAGTAAAACTAGAAGTCTTGATGAAAGGTATTTGGTCAGATTAATTCTACGCATCTATATATTTGCTTATTATTACATTTATTTAATTTTTTGTTTTCTCTACAAACAGGTGCACTATATGTCTATCAGAATATGAACTCAATGATTGGCTCCGGGATTTGCCGTGTGCGCACGATTTTCACAAAGAGTGCATCGATATTTGGTTCAAGAATTCTGACAAGTGTCCAATTTGTCGATATAGTATTCTGGAAAAATATGGATCTCTGAACGGCGATGGAAAAATCTGATTCAAAATCGTTTGAAGAAATTGTCGGTTCCAGTTGGCTTAGAGTTTCCTTGTATCCCTTCGGAGGAATTTCCGGGCAGTTTGAGTTATCGAAAAAGGATCTATAGTGCAAGGAAGAATAAGCATTGTAATATTTGTATAGATTACCGTTTTTTTCACTTTTTCTTACAGTTCCCCTTATTA